TAGGAGGTGCAAGCGGGTGCTACATAGGCGGGAAGGGCGGCGAGCGATGCCGGGAGACCAGTGAGTAGACCATGCTATACCATATGGTGCAGACGCGGGAGAGCAGGGTGACCTAAGCGATGGTGCCACAGGAGTGTCGGGTGGGTGACGGAGCTACAGGAGCACGACGCAGTTACCTGGGTGGACTCAGCTACATGGGGGGATGTCGTGTGCAGTGTGAAGAGACCGGACACTGGGTCGCAGTCAAAGGTGGCAAGACGAGTGCCCGTGGCTATGTCCGTACGGCTTCATACCTCTTGTGGTCATGGAACATAGTGGTGACACCGAGGTCTTGAATATGACCGACACCAACCAGGTTCCTGGAATACGTAGGGATATGCAAGCCGGTAAAAGTGCCGAATGGGACAGCCGGTCAGGGGAGGGCTGTAGAGCTACGAGCAACGACTGCTGCAGGTGAGTCTGCTAGGGAGACCAGTACCGGTGTGGGGAGCGCTGTGAGAGAAGTGCGGCCTCGAAAGAAGCAGCGAGATGCGTCGGGGTCCAGTGTGAAGGAGAGGGCCGTCGTAACAGGGGCAGGCGAGGAGCCTAGTCTACTCACAGCAATGGATTCTAGACCATACACAGCGGTGGGGCCTATACCCCTAGGCTCCCGGGCCCCTAGAGGAGCCACACTGGCCCCAGGGAAACGATTGTCCTGGGGCCCAAACACGGTGCACAGAACTCCCAGGACCCCACTGCAGCTGCTGCCGCTGCTGCTGCTGTTGGTGGCTACTACTCCCGTTGAGGCTGTTGCTGCTGCTGATCCCCCTCCTACTCCACACCCGCTCCTCCGCCAGCTCCCCAGGCCTCACCAGTGCCCAGACCACCAGCCAACGCCCCACGACCTCATTGCGAGCGCCTGGCTGAGCGGCGAGATGCACTGACTGCCGCAATGTTCTTAGCGACAGAGGCGGAGGCACCAGAGACAAGAACCTGGGACGAAGAGCATCCCTGAAAAACGGGGGCCACCACCACGTCAGTGGACTCGATGATGGCACAGAGATGGGTCTCGACCTCCGTCAAGGAGGTGGAGAAGTGGTCGATAGTGAGGGCAGTGTGGGGCAGTGCAAGAAGAGCGTCACGCGCAGGAGCTAGGCGGTCAAGGAGGCAGGTGGTGAGGAAGTAAAGGGTGACAAAGTGTGGGCGGAGGGTGAGCAACGAGGTGGTCCTCGAGGCAGACCGCATGGTAATGTACCTCAAGGTCATGGAGGTGCACGACGATATCCGCGATCGTGGAAAAGGAGGCCATGTTGGGGAAGTGGAATGGAAGGAGGAGGCAGTCAAGGGCGGCGGAGAACGGGGACGAGTAGCGAGCGACGACCGCATCCCCGGAGGTCCTTCGCCGTCTCCCGTGACTCAAAGTGCGCATGCTCGTCGACCGACAGGCACGGGGTGATGGCCTGCAGCGCTGCGGCATCGCGAGCCCGCCAAATGGTGTGGGTAGCGCAGACAGCTGCGTACTCCTCACGCTACACCGACGTCGCGTCGGCGACAAGAGACTCTGGAGGGAGGGGGGGGACAGCAGCTCACCAATAACGTGGGCCTCCAACAGCTTGCCATCCACTCGCTGCCTCACTAGTTGCCGGCGGAGAGCGAGAAGCCAGGGAGCGAAACCGACCGCACAGCCTTCAGCGTCCAGCCGAAGGACCAACCCTGACAAGGTTGTCACGCTGGCAGGAGAGGGGATGAGGAGTTAGTGGAAACAAGAAGGAGATGACACCGGGGACAAGAGGTAGTGGCGGTGGAGGTTGCAGGTGCACTAACGGCAGCAGTGCAAGTGGTAACTGGCTACCGGCTGGCTGGCAGCGGGAGGGCAACAGCGAGCAGCGGCAGAGGATGCGGCTGTGGCGGCGGCTGCAGCTGCGGCTACGGTTACGGCGCTGACGGCTGCGGCTGCGGCTGGCTAGCGGCATGCGAGCGGGTAAGCAGTGGGCAGCGAGCTGGCTAGCGGCGTGCGAGCGGGCGGCTGGCTGGCAGCTGGCGGCTAGGTTGCAGCTGGCTGGCAATACATCAAAATCCATAAGAGCTTTAGATAACCTTGGTTGGAAACGAGCTGGCGGCAGCGAGCTGGCGGCGAGTCGCTGGAGGTGAGCTGGCCGGCGGTGGGCTGCGCTGGTGGCGAGCTGTGGGCAGTGCACGGCGACAGTGCGCAGCTGGCGCGGAACAGCGGGCTGCGCGCTAGCAACGCGCAGAGTGGGTGGCACGGAGCTGGTGGCGAGCAGCTGGCCTCGGTAAGCAACGTGTACAGCGGGCGGCGCTCAGCTGGCTGTGAGTAGAAGCCAGCTGTCACGGGTCTAGGATTTAGCGGAAGCTTGAAGGATATTAATACAGAATTGAAAGTCTGAATACAAGCAAAGAGGCAATGCTATTTATGCCTACGAGAACTCTAGGGAAGGGTAACTAGGACCTTCTAAGAGAGTTTTAGAAATGAGTGGAACCGTCCGTAGCAACACCACCTGGAATCACGGTAGAGATTCTAGAGATACGGTAACGGTGACGGAACTCTCCACGCAATAGAAAACGTGTCATGCAAGGAAAGTCCGAAACACGATAACACATGTGATGTATAATATATCACTGTATAGGGGAAGAGTATAGGGATTTCCAGAAAAGGAAAAGCACACAAAATAACACACAAAAATAGCTAGTAAGCATTTGGATGTGCTCGAGGATTCGACAAGCCTCATCCTCTAGCACCAGCGTGGAGGCAGGGCGGCGGCCTAGGGCTAGTGCGCAAGCTAGGGCGCAGGCTAGGGCGGCAGACTAGGGCCTAACCTAGTCTAAGGAGGTACGCTAGGGTGGGTGAGGAATGGGGCAGAGCTCGATACCATATTGCGAGAGAAAAATTGACTAGGGCATCAGGAACAACAGAGTTTTGTGTCTAAGTGTGGTACCCTAAATAAAATGCACCTCGCTAGCATATATAAATATATAAACTATAACAATATGCTCATCTCCCTACCTCCCTCATGTCTCATTCAATGGCATCTTTCATAGTCACATATGGCTGTAGTCATTCCAAGTCCAAACTGTTCACTCACGGCTCATGAGTAAACAAAGCCTATACTTGAATGCACTGAACTTCCTGTCGAAACAACGATGACGTATGGTTGGCTTTGAATATTAATTTCTCCTGCTCGGGGCTATGCCATCCCGCTGCTACTTTGACAAGCTTATATTACCTCCTTGAACTGCCTCGATTTCCCACCCACCAATCCACACCAAATGCACATCCACAGGCCCGTCCCATTACATAACATGCCTTCAAACGTCCTATCACATGCCAACAGTCCCCTTCCTACGTGATCTTAAAACGGCCCACCTCCATCCCAGCACCAACCAGGGCCCAACCCATCTTGAGGGAGTCCTTGGAGTAAGTGTAGCACATACACACTTTCCTTCACACGTTGACCAACCAAAGCTAGTTGGTCACGAATGTTGTTGGCGCGGTTGAAGCAATCCTCCACCCGCTCTTGTCCTCCCATCTTCAACATGTGCAATTGGTTCCAAAGGTTGAGGTGAGATACGGCCGAGCTTGGTATGTTGCTAGAAGGTAGCTCCATGCTTCAAACGCGGGACTATAGCATTCTTGGAACCGGTCCAATTGTTGTTGAAGAGCTGGACTCACGCTATTGGACAACACCCAAAATGCCAAGCGAGCATGGTGAGTGTAGTCCACTTGAAGCGCCTCCAAACGAGCCGCCGCAACTGCAAGGGGTCCATCCACCATGGTAGTGGGGTAAGTGAAGGTCACGACAAATTCCCATAGGTTGGAGACTTGTGCATTGACCTTAAATCGGCATGCCCACTCCCGGAAGTTTGTCCCGTTAAATGGAACGGTTGTAAATGCTTTGTCGACGGTCACCGCTCCCCTCCTTGAAATAATCTCCCGATCCACTTCCGTGTACTCCCTTGCTGTAGGATCGTAGAAACTTGGAAGATGAGAGGGTGTTGGCAATACCGCCGACCGGCGAAGTTTCTGCCCCCTTGTGAATAAGGTGCATTTTCCACCACGGTTGCATGCTCCCTCCTCATGGCACCACTTGATTCCATCCCCACGTTCATTCCCGACATGAGTTCGACTCCACTTGCACCACCCGCCGATCGAGGTTGAGTGTTGTGCACTTGAGAAGAGGTACGTCGGAGGCATAGGAGATCGCTCTAGAGGTTGAGAGGGGTTGTAGATGCGATGAAGAGGAGGAGGTCCATAGCTTGTAGCCGCACCAACGGTGTAGAACCCAAAGCCTGCCCTTCCATTGGCATTGTCCATCACACTCTCTCCGCGCGCCGTTGCACCACGCTCATGCTCCGCTTGTCGTTGTTCTCCCCTGCCACCACTCCTTCCCACCATGGGGTCTTGGGCATTTGGAACTCCCTTGCCTCCATCATTGGTGGTGGTCCCCACATGGGACCTCGAGCCACCCGAGGGTCGGGTTCCCACACTCCCATCATCTCCCCCAGCAGGTATACGCTGCGAAGAAGGGTTGGACTCATGCTCCCCATGAGCGGAACGCGGCTCAAGTGGATTCCTCCACATGGTCGCCATCATGGTTCTCACGGACTCGTGCATCGAAGAGGGTGCACGCAAGAGCATTGACTCAAAATCCCCCACCCATGAATCCTCATCCATATAAGACTCAAATTGAGCCATAAATGGAGGAAATGGGGTGCAGTCAACGTCCCTTGAGGGGTGCAGAAAAGTAAAAGAAAGGCCACAGAGATTACAGTTGAAGCTCTGAAACCACTGCTGTAATTAAAAGAGTGGGCAGGACAACGGAAGCTGAGAATAGTGGCTAAAAATATGCCCAAGGCACAGACTTGGTGAAATCCAGAAAGTAGACTTGGAAAGAGATTGCATTCCAGAATCGAGTGGTCTAGAACAATGGCAGCAGAGACCTAGAAATACTCCCAAGAAGCCCTAAAAGGCCCTTGCTGAGTTGGCACAATGGAAGTCCTCCAATAATGGTCCCCTCCAATTATTTCCAGAGCTGGACTGGAATGGGGGCCTTCACGATTATTGGAGCCAATAATTCCCCTTGACTCACTCAAAGCTTCTTCGTTTTCTGCTACAGCAATTCCTACAGCAAATTCTAGAAATACAATAGTGTATAATTCCAATTTCTCAACACCTATGTGATCCCAGAACGGCCCACCTCCATCCCAGCACCAACCAGGGCCCAACCCCAAATTTACCAAGATATTTTGGGCCCTGGCACCAACCCCTAGAATCCCATGTCAGCGCGGAGCTGCTCATAAAACATGTCGGTCCATGAGTCGGGCACACCGGGCAGGCACCAGTGCACGCAGTCGTCGTTCCCAGACGCGCCCACGAGCGCGTCGGGGCGGTACATGGTGGAGCGCGTGACCTGGATGATCTTCACGGGGGCCTTGCGGAACGCCCGCACCTGCGCCGGCAGGAACACCATCGCCTGCCGGTTCTTTGCCACCATGGTGTCCGCCTGCGGGAGCGGCGAGCAGGGAGCGGCGAGCAGAGAAGGGGGGGGGGTTGGTTGAGGGTGGGTGGGCATGGCATGTAATCGATGTGCTGTGCTGTGCTGTGAGGTGATGTGACGTGACGTGACGTGACGTGACGTGACGTGACGTGACGTGACGTGACGTGACGTGACGTGACGTGACGTGACGTGACGTGACGTGGCGTGACATGACGTGACGTCATGTCATGTCATGTCATGCCATGTGATGGTGTGATGTACTGTTTCGTGGTGCAATGACTTGCGTCCAGATAAAAAAACCGAGACCTGGTCGGCCAGGCAGAAAGACCAAGAGCACACAACACCACAATATCGCACCATACCACACCAAATCCCACACATTTCAGCAGATGGGAGTAGCCACCGATGGCCAGCACAGCCCATGAGAGCAGCAGCACACGCATCGGCATGTCCCTCACCTTGCTCTGTCCCAGTGCGGTTGTGTACTTGCCGCACCCATCGATGGCAGCAGGCGCGGATACGAAGTAGGAGAGAGGCATGCTGCCGCCCTTGGCCTTGCGCGCTGCCAGAAAGTCCGCCACTGTCTTCATGCCCATGCTGCAGACGGGCAAGGAGGGGGCGATGGAGGGGTGGGGTGGTAAGGGGTGGGGTGAAGAGGTGTTATTTGATAAGTTTAAAATATACATGGATGAGGAGATAGGCTGATAAGAGGTAGGGTGAAGAGGTGTTTTTTGTAGAAATTGGAAAAATACATGGATGAGGGGATTGGGTGATGAGGGGTGGGATGATGGGGGGTGGTATGATGAGGTTTTGGAGCGCACAGTGCAGTGGATGCATGAGCAGGCAATCACGCATGGCTCATGCTGCATGGTCACGAAAATACCCAGGTAACGCTTGCAGATAGACAGATCTGCCAGGCTGCTCGAAAGGGTGGAGGAGGAAAGTGAAAAGAGAAGATGGTGGAGGGAGGAGAGGGGAGAGCTCAAGCTTATGCAATTGGACTGAAAATTCCCCCCACCATTTCCCCCACCCAACACGCCCCCCTTCCCACACTTACAAAAACACCCTTGGCATATCCCTTCTCGGGCCAACTTCTCCCTCTGCATTTCCACCCAGAACCCCTTCAACCCCCCCACCCCCTCCAACTCCCCACTTTCCCCTTCCCCAACCCCTCTCCCCCCCCCCCCCCTCTCCCCCCCCCCCCAGCACGCACAAGAACGCCTTGCTGTATTTCTTCTCGGGCCACTTTCTCACGCCCGAGCCGTCGACAAAGTAACGGCGCCACTTGGTGGGCTTGGCGCGCCAGTGCGCCGCGGACTGCAGCACGAGCACGTGATACTGCCCCACGTGGTCCGCCCACGTGGCGTCCAGCCGGCTCACGTCCACCACTGCATCCTCCGCTGTCGGCTTCACCCCGCCGTTGTACTGCCGCAGGGTCTGCGGGGGGGAGGGAGGAAAGGGGGTGAGGAGGTGAGGGGAGGGAGGAGAGGGGGGAGGGGAGGAAGGAGGGATGTGTGCTTTGGAGGTGTCTCAGAAACTGTCGGCTCCACTTGCCTGTTGTTGAGGAACGTGCTCCAGCAATTGTTCATGAGCGCGATGCTATACGCGCACACCACACCACACCGAACCGCACCCCGCCGCACCACGCCACACCTCACCACACCATACTGTACCATGCCACATCGCTAACCATACTTCCCATATCACTGCTCGACCATCATCCGTCTCCTCACCTTCGCACAGCTCACCTTGTCGTCGTGGCGGTAGAGGTTGAGGAACGTGCTCCAGATGTTGACGAGCGTGACGTTGTACGCGCGCACACGCATGATGTGCGTCGGCACCAGCAGGCCCCGCCCCGCCAGCTTCCCCAGCAGGTCGTCCGCCGTCTCCACACGGGCCACCTCATTGAGCTGCGGAGGGGGAGAGAGAGGGGAGGAGGGTGAGGAGGAGGAGGGAGAAGAGAAGGTGGAGGAAGAGATAGAGGAAGAGGTGGTGGAGGAGGAGAAGCCGTGCAGAGGGAGTAGGTGGGGTGAGAGCAGGGGCAGGGTATAAAGAGGTTAAGTATGAAGGGTATGAACAGGAGGGGAGGCAGCAGGCCCCTCCTCGCCAGCTTCCCCTGCAGCTCGTCCGCTGTCTCCACCCGTGCCACCCGGAAGAGAGGAGGAGGTGGGAGGGAGAGAGGAGGAGAAGAGAGGGAGAGGGCAGAGACAGACGGGAGAGAGGGGAGATGAGGTGAGGGAGATGGGAGGACGAGGTAGGACGAGGGAGGATGTGGGAGGATGTGGGAGGTTGTTTGGCTAGGCTGCTTGATGATGCTGAATAGGAGAGTGGGAGAGACCTAAGGGACAGGAGAAGGTACGATGGAGGGCATCGCATTGCATTGCGTTGCACTGTGTTGCACTGCGTTGCACTGTGTTGCGCTGCATTGCACTGTGTTGCGCTGCGTTGCACTGTGTTGCGCTGCGTTGCACTGTGTTGTGCTGCGTTGCACTGTGTTGCGCTGCAAGGCACTGTGTTGCGCTGCGCTGCACTGTGTTGCGCTGCGCTGCACTGTGTAGCGCTGCACTGCACTGTGTTGCGCTGCGCTACACTGTGTTGCACTGCGCTGCACTGTGTTGCGCTGCGCTGCATTGCAATCCCACCTGGCATACGATGGATGGCATGAAGTTCTCGTACGATAGCGAGTCGCCCACGGATGCCACCACTCTATGCAAGCAGGGCAGAGGGGGAGAGTGGCAGGGGGAGAGCTTGGGGAGAGCGGCAGGGGGAGAACGGCAGGGGGGGAGCGGCAAAGGAAAGAACGGCAGGAAGAGAACGGCAGGGGGAGAACGGCAGGGGGAGAGCGGCAGATGGTGAATGCCAGGGGCGGAATGGAATGAATGGAAATGAATTGAAGCGAGAGGACGGGAAGAGCTTCGACATGCAGGTGCTCGCCCCACATGCGCACACCCCTCGCTCTCCGTGACCCCCTCCCTCTCCCTGCCCCCCCCACCCGGGGCCCCACGCTCACTTGTTGCGCATGCGCGTGAGGAACTCGCGCGCGTTGAACCCGAATGACCCCCCGCAGCTCGACGGCACCCACTTGAACCGCTGCCAGGGGAAGGACATTCGGGAAGGGCGGGGAGAGGGGAAGGGGGAGAAGGGCGGGAAGGGAGGAAAGGGCGACTATTGGGGCAGGTGCCACAGTGGGATGGGAGAGGTGGGGGCAGCTGGATTCGTGGGAGGCCACGTGTGCAGGCAGAATGGAGGCTGTTTGAAGTGGAGACCAGAGGAAATGGCGGAATTTGAAGAGCTTGGACGCTGGAGGATGGACGCTGGAGGCTGAAGGCTGGAGGCTGGACGCTGGTTGAAGTGGAAGGGCATGTGGGCGCGTGTGTATGTTACTACGTGATTGGGGCGGTCGATGGGGCGGGCGATGGGGCGGATCTACGTGCCTTGCTACCCGCACCGCCTCCTTGTCTGCCCGATACGCATGCGGCGCATGGCACATTGTTACGTCACCCGTCACATAAAGTTAGGCTCTCACATGGGTAGTGCTTCTAGTGCTTCTAGTGCTTCTAGTGCGACATGAAGTGGAGGCACAAAGGAGTGGAAACCAGCAGGGGAGGCAAGATTGCCGGAGTGGACAACTGCTGGCTTGAGGTCCTTTCTGGATCTCCTTGCTACTGGGTGGAGGACTGCTTGAAGGGGGGACGGGGAGGGTCAGGAGTGGGCGTACCAGGTACTTGGGGCTTCTCGGCTTCTTTGGGTTGAGGCAGTTCACGGCGCCAACTGTCTGCTCACAACGCCAGCAGTGACAAGCACGAGACGACACGAAGAACACCGAGGATGATTAGTGCTGAGTCGCGGCAGAATGCACACGCATGCGAGGGAGAAACGAGGCGCCTTTTTGGCACACGCAACGCGCGGTTGATTAGCGGGGCAGGGTTTCGCCTTGCCACTAGCTCGAAATCGGATTTCAGAAATAAAAAAGAAAGAAAACTCAAGTGGGATGCACCCTTGCGACGTGCTTGACGAAGCGAAACAGTGATCCACGTAATGCCGGATCACCTACAACCGACCCCCCACCACCTCCCATTCCCCCCCCCCCTCCTCACTCCACGCCATAAAAACGAATCCAACTCTTCCCCCCATCCGCCTCCTTAACCTCCTCCTCCCCAATCGCCCCTACCCCCACACTTTCACCTTCCTCTCTCCGCGCTCCCCTCCCCTCCCCCAGCCCCAGAATCCTCCTCCCCCGCCCTCATTTCCCCGCGCGCGCGCGCGACTCACCCGCAGCAGCGGGCAGTAGTTCGAGTGGTACCGCATCTGCGCCTTGGGTTGCGCCTCCCACTGCCCCTCGTCGTATTTGCACGCTGCGCCCAGCTTCCGCCGCCCGCCCGCCGTGGCGTTGGTACCGCGCGCAAGCGGAGAATTGCTACCACTAGCAAAGATTTGCTCAGTAGTAGTAGCAGTGAGATCCGTAGTACTAGTAAGTTCCGTAGTAGTGAGTTCCGTGGTACTGGCGTGCATGCGAGCGGCTTGGCAGACCGGGGAGGAGAGGGTGACGAGGTGGAGTGAGAGGTATGCGAGGAAGAGGATGAGAAGAGGCCGCCGGTGGCGGAGATGGAGGGGGAAGGGGAAGGTTTGTTGCTGGAAGCGATGTGCGGGAGGGTACACTTGGCGGGCGCGAGTAATTCCACGTGGTGGTGCGATGGCGTGGTTGTGGTAACAGAAACGTGTTTTCGGGTAGCGATGCAGCCGCTGGTGTGGTAGTGGGCTCTTCATGATGGCGCCGCAGAAATCCGAGAACCAAGCCGTAACTCCCGACGAGGCCACGACTGCAACAACGCGTTTCCCGAATCTCCGTTGCGCGCCTCTTCTTTTAATATCTTTTATCTTTCTTCAAGAGTCGCGGCTTACGCGCAGTCGCGAAGGAGGGGCCAAGCGGGGATTGCGGCGGCCCACGGGCCGTTTCGTTGCAAGGGAGAGCCGCGTACGGGCAACAGCTACTCTTAACACGCAATAGGCGGTGGCATGAAACCCGACATACGACTGTTGAGAACTCTCATAAAACGAACGTATTGCGGGGAGAATCTGTCAGCCAGCAAGCCAGTCGATGATGCGAAAGCGTACTAGTACTAGGCGTCCGCAAACAGCGGGCGGAGGATCGACCTGCCAGGGATTCGTAGTCTCCTCTGTGCACGAGGTGTGCGACGCGAGCTCCCGATTCAAACGATCCTCTTGGGGCCTCTAAGAGCGGCGACGGAGGCCCTTGAATCTAAACGACGGACGGAAGGGGATAAATGGAGCGCTCTAAAGAGCTGGAGCTGTAACTAGTAGGAGACGAGTGGACAGCGCGCATTCTTGGTACTTCTAGTTGTGCTCGCTGCTACTTCGCGAGAGCCGGGAAGGTCCTGAATGAGACATATTCAATGAACGCCGTAACAACGCAATAGGACGGCCGATAACTCAATCTGAAGAACGGATGGTTGGTGACAGTCGAGAAAGGAATTCTGTTGATTGCTGATGGGCGGATCGCTGCAAATGCTGCAGCATGGGAGGTGCAGGCTGCTCGTGTGGCCGACACGATGCGAGCAGGATTTCGGTCAAGCTCGGCTCCTGTGCGGTCGCCTGTTCTCTGCAGCTATTTTTTTCGGCAACTCGCACGAGGCAATTTGAGAGGGATGTGCTTGTGACTGTGCCGTGGGGTGAGCAAGGGGGAGGAATTCGCGGGGACAGCGGAGGAGGATTTCAATCAGCAGGAATGCGACAGGGGATGGGTTGGAAGGGAATGCGGGAAAGAGTGAATGTGATGCGATGGTGTGGTTTGGTTTGGCAGAGAGATGAGAAGTCATGGGGCATGGCATGGCGTGGTGTGGCGAGGGTTGAGGCGATGAGATGGGATGGGATGGGATGGGATGGAAGGGGATGGTTGGATGGACTGATTCCTCTGTTGGGCTGAATGGTGCTGCCACGAGCCGCTTCTGCTAAATCTCCCGCGCCTTGCTCTGTCAACAGAGTCTTTGACGAATCGTATGGTGGTCGTGTCATTTTGTCCGCACCCGATTTCTTATGGGAAAAGCGGGCACATGAAACTGTTTTTTAGCCTGCGGAGTTGCACTTCATGTTGTATTTGCAGCATGAGGATCCTACAGCGAGTTTGAAATTGGTGACAGATCGAACTAGGGATTTCGAAACCAGCTGAGCCACATGGTAAACGATTTATGCGTACAGCACATGAAATAGGGCTACCTGTTTCTGAAAATGCTGCTGCCAGGCGCTTCCAAACCAAACCAGCACGAGTTCCGCGCAACGCACGATTGGGAAGCGTGGCCTTAGTCCTCGCTACATGCCCACTCGATAATTTTATTCAAGTAGCCATTCATCTCAGAAGAATATATTTGTGTTTCAGTTAGAGTAGAATTCTTGTGTTCACAACACAACTGATCCATTCCACGAGACAAAACTATAATCAGACCTCAATATTATGTGTTAATCATCGGGAACCAACATATGTGAAATCGGGGAGCATCAGATCTAACCAGACAGCGATTGATAATGTGCGGTGAAAGCGTCGAAATGCCACTTCACCTAAGTTTGGTACAGTATTGCAAAGCCTGATCTAAGTACCGGTACACCTAATATATGTAACGTATAGACAACCTTCATCAGGAGAGCAAAACAAGTTTTGAACCCACGGAAATATGTACTACCGTAGATAACAACAAAGTCTGCATTTATTGTTACGAGAGGTTTTAGCTAGGTAGGCTCTCAGAGTAGAATCATCGACAAGAATGTGTAATACAGGGTAGTTTTGTCAAAGGGGTTGCACTCTCTATAAGACTGCACATATCTAGTATATAACATATACAAAATATATGTTGACACACCCCCTAGGCTCGACAAGGTTCAACGACCAGCACGAGACACGCAACTCAGAGTGACACTATTACTCGAGCCACTGGAAAAGAGGCCATAAGACCTGTCAAGATAATGTATGATATAGTACACAATCAAGGTCCTAGCAAGTGAGAAGCTACAGGAACGAGACCAAGCTGTACACAGTGCCGCTGATAATCTTTAGGCGCAAGCGCCTTCGTAAAGATATCAGCTGTGTTGGCACCGGAGGCCAAGAATACTACATGGGCCTGGCGACGTTGCTGTAGCTCGCGCAGGAGGAAGTACCGCAGCTAAATGTGCTTCGCTCTGCACTCTAGTCGAGGCTCCTAACGCAGGAGGATCCGTGCCTCCGAAGTACGGTCGGTAGAGCGCATAATCGTGTTGTAGTATACCGCATCTCCCTCATTTGTTGACACCTCGTATTGCTTGGCGTTCTCCTCCATCGTCGAAATTACGCTGATGCTGGTAACGCTTCGACTTCTGGTAGAATCGCCTCCAATGCATATGCCGTAGGGTCGCTAGTGAACGAGTACTTGCCGGATTTGATGTTAATTACCGATCAATCTGTCAAGCATCGTAACATGCACGGAAAAAATTCCACGCAAGTCATTAACACATGGAATTGCGATGCATGATTGGTGTGTCGCCTCGTAAGGTCGATGTTGAGACTGCTCCAACCAATCACTTCAGATGGCTGAGATTCTTGATGAAAACGAATCGTTCAGCTCCTGTTACGAAGTAGTGTCTCGCTGGCCTTGACGAGACGGGTTCACTGCGTCGTCGTTGCGTGCGAAATCTGCTCATTTCCAGCAACTTGATGTTGGGAATATTGCAAGAGAAAATGGCTACTTCTCTGCAATCCCATAGGTTGTCGATCAAAATTATGAGATGAAGTATCTCATGGATGTTACACATGTCTTCACGCAGCTCCATTGTTTTTCCTAGGCGAAGATCTCGTGGTGTTGATGTCGATCCATTTTTAACGAAGATGAATTCGTCAAGATGACTCCGCTGCATTCGCGCCGTTGATTCCGCAACGATCCGACGATCCACGTTCTCCTGTCAGTTTTCTGCTTGCAGCTATTACCAAGTAGGTAATACTCTGGCAGATTTATGACTCTGCAGATGATTTTGAACACCACATTCGTGACCAAATGGAGGAATCCGAATTTGGCTGTCCAGATGAAAAAACGGTGTCGAAGGCGGCTCCTTTTCTGTTCTGCGCGTCATTCTCCCTTCGTGCAGAACACACGCTCCATCTCGTCCGTTGAGGTAGAAGTCGATCCGACGGTCCAAAATCCAAGCAGTCTGAAGATATTCCTGAGTCCCGTACAGCAGCTTTCGGTGCACGGGAGGACTCGATTCCTGCAGCAATTCTTGGTCGTCGATTCAAGCTGTCGAGGTCAAGGCCGTTTGCCCCCGCGAAAAAATCGGCTCCGTCGATGCGGTCCATCGAACGGTTGGCGAGGCATCTCGCATTAGAAGGGGACCGCAGGTGCAACTGCGCGAGGTAAGTAAAATTTAAAATAAAAGTGCATTGTACTTACAGGAATTGAAGTTTCGACTGCATCCTCGCCGTGCTCATAGGGGCCCAGCGGTTAAGCGTTGAGCTGAAACCTTGGCTCTGATTACCAAGTGTCACAGGATCGAATGTGTCGAGGAAAGGTTTGCACAATGTTGCCCTATCAATCAGTGCAAGGTGTTTTTATAATTCCATAATACATCAGGTAACCAGGTTTATCCTATCCAAAGGGAATAGACCCTTGTAGAAATAGAATCACCATGCGTATAGCCAAGCGAGGCTATTGGCTTTAAGGGATTACGGCAGGATTACGCTAGATATAGCGCGCCAGTACATCCCGAGCCTGGTCGGTGATATAATTATAATAACAGGATAAACCAAAGGATAATGGAAAAGGAGGAATAGGAAACCAAATGAGATGAGATTAAGACCAAATGAATCATGATAAAAAGATGAAATAGATAGGAAATATGGAAAGGGGAAATTGGTGTAACGGGGTCGTACTCTCACAATCGTGATGAAATCATGAGCGGGTTGGACTGTGGCTGGTATTTTTGGCAGTTGAGGTGTGAGTGGGTGGCGTCCGTAACAGAGGAAGAACGGTGTCTGTCCAGTAGCGGCGTGAGTAGCATTGTGTTAGAATACGAGAATGAATTGACTAGTGTGAGAAACCTAAAACATATACCTGCTGGGGTTGTACTCACTAGAAGCACACACCTAGGCTAGCCTATACCTTCTACATACAACACATGTATAAGTTGACACACCCCCTAGGCTAGAGAAGGGGTGGTGCTAAGCAAGAAGCACACAGCTCAGAGTGGCACTACTAGTCCAACCACTGAGGCAGGGGTCCGAAGACCTGTCAGCAAGAGTACAAACAAGACTAAAGCAAGCCAGGGCGGCACTACTAGTCCAGCCACTAGAGGCAAGGCCACAAGGCCAGTCAGGCAGGCATATATAGTAGAGAGTACACAATCAAGGTCCTAACAAGTGAGAAGCTACAGGAACAAGACCAAGCTGTACACAGTGCCGCTGATGATCTTTAGGCGCAAGCGCCTTCGTAAAGATATCAGCTGTGTTGGCACCGGAGGCCAACTGAACTACGCGGCCCTGGCGACGCTGCTGTAGCTCGCGCAGGAGGAAGTACCGCAGCTGGATATGCTTCGCTCTGCCCTCAAGTCGAGGCTCCTCACACAGGAGAATCATGGCCCTGTTGTCAGCGTACAGGACCGGGGTAGAGCTAGGCTGCTCACCTAAGTCTGTGAGCAAGAAGGTCAGCCAGCGGAGCTCCTGTGCCGCCATGGCACCGGCGTAGATCTCAGCCTCACAGCTGGACAGAGCAACAGACGATGAGCGAGTGGATCTCCAAGAGATAGCACCCGAACCAATGCTAAAACAGTAGCCCTGCGACAACCTGAGAGTCTCAGCGTCGTCTACCCAAGAAGCGTCTGTGTGCCCAGTAAGGACCACTGGCCTGCGTTCTCCAAGCACTAACCCCATGCCCGATGTACCTGCTAGATTTTGCAAAACCCTCTTAGCGGCCGACCAGTGCTGTGGTCGGTGTCTGCCAGTGGCCACAAAGCGAGCCAGGATGCTAAGAGGGTATGCGAGATCTGGGCGAGTGCAAGTCATCAGGTACATGAGGCAGCCAACCAGCTCTGCGTAGGGACTGTTGGGCTCTACTGGCTCCTCAGGAACGGGAGCGGAGAGCCCATGGTCTACAGGTAGAGGTGTGGGCTGTGCAGAAGAGAACTGAAGACCGAACCTCTGAAGGACCTGACGCACTAAGTGTGACTGTGTGAGAGTGATGGTGCGTGCTGCTCTGTCCCTGGAGATCTGCAGGCCAAGATAGCGCCGCAGCTCTCCAAGGTTAGTGCAGGTGTGTCTCTTCAGCAGCTCAGCCTTCACGGAAGCCAGTGCGTCCCTGTCGGCAGTAGCGAAGACCCGGTCGTCTACGTAGACAAGGATGTAGAACGGAGTCTGGCCAAAACGCACAAAGAGCGAAGGGTCAGCAGATGACGGAAAGAACTGCAGGTCTGCTAGCGTGGCATGCAGCGTGTCGTGCCACTCGCGGGGAGCCTGGCGCAGGCCTTAGACTGGGTGCCTGAGAAGCCACTTGGTCGCAGGGGGGAAGGTACCAATGAAGCCCTGTGGTCGGCGCAGGT